CACACAAAAAAAAAAAAAAAAAGCCAGTCACTTGTTGAATGTTTGCTGAATGAACTGACAGGGCCACAATCATTTAGAAGGCACCCCGGATCTACAGGTACCACTCCACATGTTTCTTTTCTGATAGAGTTCTACCATTCACCTTTGAAAACACACATCTGTCATTCTATGTTTTGTCTTCCTGCAACCACCTGCATATGACAGCAAGGACAGGAGAAGGGTTGTGACTAATAGTCCCCCAACTGAAAGAGAGAAAAAGGCTAAGCCAGCCCTTGGGTTGGACATTCATTTACACAAGAGGTAGCGGAGGAAACTGCAAAACAGACAAACAAACAAAAAAAGATTAAAAAAAAAGACCCCGAAACATTTGGACCCAGACTTTTCAATTTCTCCAACAATAACTTCCTTTTGATCCTCTGCTCAATGAACGTACTTCTTCCAGGAGCAGTACGACCCACCTCCCAAATCAACACCAACCCAAATCACCATCCTGATGTTATTTGAAAGAATAACGGGGTAACATTTTCTCCGTGATGTGATGGAAGTCTGGTTTCTAATCCCGCTCTCCTTAGTCAAGTTACATAAAATAAAGACTGAGAAGGTATCGTACAGATCCACCATTTGAATCCCAAAGGTGCCTTCTAGGGACACCCAGGTATGAGCCCCTCAGACTGTGGGACACTTGCCTTCTCCACCCAGTATTGTCCCATGTTCCCCACAGCACGTCTTCTGATTCCCAAGACTGATTCCCTCATCTTCAGGACTGACTCTCTGGGGCCCAACAGCACTGACCTCCGCAGAACTAACATAAACAACACCTTCCAGCTCTGCTGCCTGCACCACCCACCAAATTCCTTCTGTGGTGCTCAGTTACTTAACCAGCATTGTCCTCTCCGAATGGGAAACCAAGAAACGTACTTCCTACATCCCCTGAGCCACTTAAGACAATCCCCACGCTCCCCATGGCACCAAACCTACGCCTGCCCTATCTGTTTATTCCTTCTTTCTTGGTCATCAGAACTCCATTTCCAAGAAATTTTCAACGAGCGCTCCCAGCAGAGAAGGGGCCCTGAGGGGTGAAGGTGGCATGGACTGGGGTTGACACACTTGAGCGTGGCTGTCTCCAAATTGTAGCAGATAGCCTGACCGCTAGTTTAAGTGTATAGAATCATAAACATTAGAGCTGATGGGGATCTCAGGGATCATGGAATCCAATGCCCTCATTTCACAGATGTAGACAGTGAGGCAATGGAGGTGAAGTGATTGCCTAAGATCATTTTACTGGTCGGTGATTCTAGTGGAGACCAGAATCCTCCTGACGCTCAATGCAGTGCTCTTCTCACTGGAATGCACTTTGGGTTAATCATCTAACTTCAGAATTAAAACTCTGACTTTGAAGTTAGTGAGCCAGAGACTGAGCTGGCTTAACAAATTTGGAAGTGATATATTCCTTAAATATCTCAGTGAAAGGTTTAGGATAAACAAGTTTCTATTGTATAGTACACAAGATTTAATATGTTGTAGTAACCTATAATGAAAAAGAATATGAAAAGGAATATATATATATATATGTATATATGTATGTCTGAAACACGATGCTATACACCAGAAATGGACACATGGTAAACTGACTATACTTCAACAGATAAATAAATTAATTAAAAAAGAAAGGTTTAGGGAATCTTTTTAGCCATATACCAATCTTTGACTAGTAATCCCACTGTCCCTGGTTCCTTCTGAAGAATTCTACCCTGATTGTGTCTTTCCAAAGAACCTCTTTATTCTGAGTAATACACTCTTCCTGGAACCATTTTATTTTCCGAAAATGGTGTACGGGACACAGAGATCGCTGTACTGGAGTAAGGGAAGGAGGAGTAGGTGCTGGAGAAGTTGGTGGTGTAGCACTAAGTACTAAGATGTCAAATGGTAAGGAGGACGAGTTGTGTGGTAATGAGGGGAGTGAGAACACAGGGTGTAGGCAACATGAGTGGGAGGTGGCGTGAAGATGGCTGAGGGTGCTGAGGGACATTGCGATGAAGGGGCCTGGATTCTCACCTTGACTGGCCAGCATGTCAGGGCTGCTCCAGACTGTGGAGCTGATGGCCTCGTCCAGTGGAGCCAGAGTTCCCAGCTCCAAATTCTGCTCCTGCCAGTAGCCTGGGGAGAGAGTCTCCATCAAGGATGAGCCCTACATATATGCTGTTACAGTTTGGGGATGGGGAAAAGGATCGGCCCCTATGATAAGGAGGCTCACCAGGACACCTAAGAGAAGGTGGCTTTCTCATAAAAGGGAGAGATCAACTAGAACCCTGAAAAAGGAAGTGAACTCCTCCTTCTAAGGGGTGAATTAAAGGAGGATGCTAAGCTTCATCAGACAATCATATGATGTTCGAGCCAACAGAAATCGTACGGATTATCTGATCCAGGTCTCCCAGTTCACAGATGAGAACAATGAAGCCCACAAGGGTTAAAAGTGACTTGGTGAAGGTCATACAGAAACAAGAAGGATCATCAAAGACTTTTCATTCCTGATCCAGGTTCTTTCTGCTACACCGTATTACCTACTAAAATAACGACAGGTTTAATACTGAGAAAATACTTTCCCATTTAATCCTTTTAATAAATCTGTTAAATAAGTACAGGTCGTATTATCACCTATGCATTGCAGAGCGGAAATGGGGAAATGCCTTGTCCAAAGTCATACAAATAGAAGAACAAAGGCGGGAAAATAAATGCCTGATTCCAAATCCAAAGCTCTATTTATTTCAAGGTGACAACTCTACCACCGAAGACACAGACCACTGTTAGGGTTGAAAGTTGCCTCACGCCTTCCCAGATTGTTACCTTCTACTGGTACTCAAATTCTCAAGTTTTCCTCCTCCACCCTCAGCCCCACTCACTACTTTATATCACTGACTCTGCTCCCTGCTCTGTTACCAAAAAAACAAACAAAACCCGCCCAAGGCCTGCATTACTGCCTCTCTTCCTACTAGGTGGCCCCTAAACCCTTTTGTGAAGTACTGTGTAGTGTCAGATGGCCTCTTTTCCCAACTCCACCTGAGAGGTGGAGGGACAAAGAAACCCGCCACAAGAATCTTTTCAGGCTCTCCCGTCGTAGCTCAGAAGTAGCCAATCACGTGTGCAAAATTCAGTGACGTCATCGGCTGCTGAGCAGAGTCCGGAGCTGCTCCTTGTCCCGGGCCCGGAGTCCCGGCAGAACTTCGCCTCAGGTCCCTGCGCGCCGGCTCCGAGCCAGCGAGGGAGGGCGGCTGCGAGAGGGAAGGACGAGAAGGGGACCGAGGGGGCTGGGTAGAGGAGTGGGGAGGGCAGGGGGTGGCAGGGCTGCGAGACTGAACAGTGAAGTGGGGCAGGGGTTTAGGGTCCAAGAGAAGAAAGGGGACGAGGGAGAGAATTGCCGAGTCACAGAGAAGGAGGGGTGAGGGAGGGGAGCGAGTGGGGGAGGGGGGCAGGGAGGCCGGGGAAGGAGAGGGAGGTGGCGGGAGGGAGGGGGAGTTTGAGAGTCCCGGTCTCGGCGCAGGGCTCTAAGAGAGCTGCAAAGGCTCACTGGCATCCCAGGAGATGCCTCCCCTCGCCACTGTTGCTCCTCTTCCAGGAGGTTTGAGAAGTGACTGTTCGCGAACAGGAGAAGCTCTAATGCCCAAATGGAGAGACGCAGTAAAGCAGAGGAAGACAGGCTATCTGTAACAGGTAGGAGTAAGCAGGAAAGGGAACAAGGGAAGTATTGAAGAAGAGAGGGAAGAAAGATGGGATGGGAGCAGGAAGGGCGGCCAGGATGAGGACAGGGGCGCTCAGATCCAACAGAGACTCTCCCTGGGGGCAGGCGCGCGCCCTGCTGCTTTCCGTGGACTGCAAGGATGGAGGCAACCGGAAGTTGGTGAGTATCTCGTAGTATTTTCAGGTCGTGTGTTTGTGGGTGCTTCAAGGCACAATGGAAAGCCAAATTGGTTGTGCGAAAGCTTGGGGTGGTGGAAGGACAGGGAGAAGCCAGAGCAGTGCTTAGCCCCACGGTGTTGGTACCCATGCACAAAGTAAGCACTGAATAGACCTTGCTCAAAGCAGAAAATAGCCATCTTGTACGTCGGCATAGGGCTTTCGGTTTGCAGAGTGGATTTTCAACTATGAATTCATTTAATGTCAAAACAACCTTGAGAGAGAAGCACCGGGTAGAATCACTTTTAGAGCTGAGGTTTAGAGAGGTTCAGTGACTTACCTAAAGGCACACAAACACACCTCTCCACGATCCTTTCTCTCGCTGGTGGTACTCTCAAAGCTTTTTCAGCAGTGCCTGTTTCTTACAGCATTTCAGCCCATTGTACTGCAATTTCCTTGTTGAGTTATCAGCCTCCCCATCTAAACTTTGAGTTGCTGAAGAGCAGGAGTCTCTCCTTATTCATCTTAGCCCTTAGCCCACAGTGGACTCTCAGTGCATTTAATTGGCTCTAGTAATTCATTCAGTCTCAACTGGCACTGTGCTCTGTCCATTCTTACTCGGGCAGAGCAGCTATCCTGTCCAAACAGCACGGATCTAGTCTTCACTCTCCTGCTCTTTCTTTCCTCTGTGCTATCTTCTGCATTCCCCTTAGTTGCTTTTGTCCTTGCTTACAATTCCTTTCATCCCTGCCCTCCTCCTGCATTTGGCTGACATTTTTTTTTCCTGCATAATAAGATGATGAGTGAAATGATAATGTAGGTCATTCAAACTGTACTGAATTGTTTACATGAGGGGACTGATAACTAAACACATGATCTCCAAGAAATGGCATATTGGGGATATGCTTGATACATTGTTTCCGTCGGTGTACAGGAAACTCATGCTGGTTTGTTGTGTCTGAAGAAACTGGTTAAGAAATAGCCCGATTTTCTTTTCCTGCTGGGGGTGGTATTTTCCCCTCTAATTCTGCAAAGTACTTTTAAGCTCATGTCTGCTCTTGAGAGCTGCCTGCTAACATGCTTGAAACTTTTCTTGCTGTTTTTATAAAATTGTACAACTGTAATGATAAACCCTGAATGGCCACTCCTCTGGGAACAGATGAGTGGTTATTATATTATTAACAGAAACATGGACAAGCGGCAGAAATTATAACCTGGATCGCTAAATCCTTGTTCTTTAGATTTAGGTCATGCTAATTGTTTATGACATCAGCATAAATTCCCTGAATGGATTCCAACTGGAAAGGAAAACTTATGTGGGGCTCTGAAAAGGTGGCATGCACTTTGCAGTGCCAACAGTGACAGATCTGCTTGGGCAGGGTCATTGGAAGGAAATGCAGACTTTGAGACCACAAGACCATCAGTAAGGGGAGGCCCTGGTTACTCAGCCAAATGGGTCATTATTGCTTCCCTGCTTGGGAACCTTCACTGACTTCCCATTATCTGCAGATAATGTCCAGATTTGTTACCCTGGCTTACAAGATCCTGTACAGTCTGACACCAGTATGCCTTTCAACTTTGTCTTTTCTTTACTTTGCTCACCCCATATCCCAGACACATGATGTTGTTTGGAATTCTTTCTATAAACCCTTTGCTTTCCTGCTCATAGCTCCCTGCGCCATCATGCCCTTGACCCATCTTCATATAGCTGAGCCCTATCCATCCATAAAGCCTACTTTTTGTGGCAGTTCCTTCAAGGAGTCGTCTTCCCTGGTTGTCTCAGATAGAAATAGTTTCTGATTTTTTTTTTTTGAGTTATAACACTTTATCTGCTTTTCTTAACTTATGCATCACTCTCTACTTTGGACTGCAAGTTTGGCTTCCCTCCTAAATTATAAGATTCTGCAGGTAGGGTTGGTATCTGATTCACCTCTGTCTCTGGTACTGGCCTTAATACAGCATACTGCACATAAGAGGTAATAAATATTTATTTAATAAATGAATCAAAGATGTGAAGCATCTTCAATTGTGAGAACCATGTCTAGCATCTGCCAGGGAAGAGGAACTAGCAAACCAAACAGAATAGGAAGAAACAAGCCAAGGAAGAGGGTAGACCATCCAGAGGCTAAAGCTCTGGAAGTCTACAAGCTGCTGAGAATCTGTATTTATTGATTACCTTCCATGTGTCAAGATCCAAGCTAGATGCTCTGTATTCATTATTCCAGAATAACCCTTGTAATAGGTATTGTTATACATGCATGAAGGATGAGTTAGCTAAGACACAGAGACTCAGACTCAGAAGTTAAGTAACTTATCCGTATGACAGATCCAATAAGTGTTGAATTGGGACAGCCTTTAAACTTAGATTTCTCTGACCACACAGCCCTGACTTTCTGCACATCTTCACTACACTGCCTCTAACAGGCAGAAACATGTGTTTTGGGTGTGTGGTTGGGGCTGCGGCAGAGGTTCTGGAGGGAAAGATTCCTTCCTGCATTGCTGGCCAGAGGTTGCTCACCTAAACAGTATCACAACACTCTCTTGCAATATGTAACAAGTTGGAAATGGGTGCTTGTGGTGGTGGTGTGATTTGTACCCACTGGGTTACATTTTTAGTTGGATTTCTTAATGCATCTTCATCTATACCTTTGGGGGCTATTTTGTGCACCCCAAAGAACCTTACAACTTGGGATTCTTCAGTTAACCAAGCAAAAGCAGCATCTGGGTAAAACTCACTGAATCCCCTCAACATTTCCATAGCACACTAGCCCCTTAGGATAAAAACTTAAGATCGACTTTTTGTCTGCTCTCAATTGCCTTGAGGGTTTCTTAATTCTTAGTTTATACCCATGGGTTCCAGGACCTTCAGGACTCCCAGTATTTTAAAGGACAAAGTAGCCCTTTCACCTACTGATTTTCCCCTGATTGATTGTTCACGTTAAGAGTAGCAGAGGTGGGAACTGGAGACTTAACCAATGGGCCTCTTTAAAGCCTACACTGGCACCTGCGGCTCAGCTCTTCACCCATAGTACAGGACCTCACACGTAGTAAGTAAGTGCTCAATAAATATTTATTGAATAAATAAACGAGTAACTCAAATGAATAAAAATGTATTATGTCTCCAATGTAAGTAATGCTAGCAGGGAAGTCTACATGCCAGTGTAACCCCCGGTTGCTTGGTGTATGTACCTTCCCTGCTCTGTTTTGGGAATCTATAGTGCTTTCGCCTTAGGGTCACAGGTGCACATTTGGGATGGTGGGACAAG